GCTGACACGATACCCATGATTCGGTTGAAAGCCACGGCAACGCCGTTTCCAGTGCCGCGGTGGGCGCTGGGCAGCACCTCCGGAGTGTAGGCGTAGAGGGTACCGTAATAAATGTTGAGGAAGCACGCGATCAAACATGTAAAGGCCGTGTCCTGGGCTGCCGTCTCGACTGCAGTGTAAGCAAAGAAAAAGGCCATCGTGATCAAGGCCCCGATAGCCATGGTGTATTTGCGACCAAGCAGCTTTGTGTTGCACATGTATCCTGCAATGATAGGGCCTGGAATACCGCAGATGTTGGTCAGACAGTAGTTGCGCCAAGTTTCGAAGGTGGTGCGGTTGAAGACTCTGCCGTGATTTTCGAGGTAGGTGCTGCGAGAATGTTAGCCAAGGCTCATGGAGATCGGAAAGCTTGGAATTGCATACGGAAGAAAGACGTAGAAGAGCGGGTAGATGAGGCCGATCAGAGCCCACGACAGCCAGACCAGGATTGTGGAAATGGACATCTTCTTGTTGCTAAAGAGCCCACGGAAGTGAATGCGGGTTTCGGACAGAGAGAAACGGCTCTTGCCATGGGCTGACTGAATCTGTCCGCAGGCCTCCAGCTTCTCCAGAGTCAGCGAGCATGGGCGGTTGTACTTGGTGGCCAGGAACTGGAACGTTTCCACCACCTTGGCATCCTCGCCCATGCCCAAGAGGTACTTGGGCGTCTCACGCAGCCGGACGACTGTGATACGGAGGACCGACATGACAAACACCAGGGCGCCACCGGTGAAGAGCATATATCGCCAGCCCCAGTTGTTGGCTTTGGTACAGGTCTCGACGTCAGTGCAGTTCCACTTCGCGGGGACCATGAAACCCCAAGCGATGAAGCCGGTGACGGCCTGTCCAAGCCCCCACCAAGCCGCCAAGAAGGTCAGCAGCCACTGCTTGTTGCTCGGAAGGTACTCGAGGAAGACGGTTGTGTCCAAGATGAGGTTGCCACCACCGCCGAAGCCGAGAAGGGCGATGAAGAATGCGAGGGCTGGCCAATTGGGCATGGCACCAGCCAGAATGCAGCTGGCGGAACAGATGAAGAGGGTTATGTTAAAAGCCCACTTGCGTCCAATGACATCGGCGCTGAAGCCCCAGAAGAGGGCGCCTGTCAGCATACCGACGTATACGGCAATGGTGAGCGCGTTGGAGTAGCCCTTTTTGCCGAACTCGAGGTAGGCCGCAGGGGCGACAATGGATTGGAAGAGGAGAATCAACGAGTCCACAGCATAACTACATTACATCATCAGTCAGTACTTGGAGACGTGAATTATAGGACATGATACAGGTGACGGGAACCATATCGTGGGATAAAGAGGGATGGAGGAAATGGAGCTGAGAGCAGTGAGACTGATACTCAGGGAGGGACAACTAACCCGAATCCATTGAGGAAGAACAGCTTCCAGTGGTAGCCAGTCCAGCCAATCTCATCAATCGCCTTCCATCCAATGTCAGCTCTGAAGTAGTTTGGCGAGGGGACTTGGAGCTTGGACTACAGAGTAGTATTCTCGTCGTTCGCCGTCACTGGGCTCGGGCCGTAGCAGAGCCTCTGAAATCACTCACGTTGTTCACAAGATGCATCTTCATGTTCAAGGCAGGATCGAGATCTTGCAGGGAGAGGATGTCCTCGCCGCTGCGCAGCGACGACCCGTCGGCGTTCCTGAGCTCGCCCAACATCGGATCGCTGTTGCCGGCCTCGATCTTCTTCTCCACCGAGCTGGCGTCAACAGCCGACTTGTCCAGGCTTGCAGGAGTAGCCATGGCTGCGGATGATGGCTTGAGTGCAACTGAGAATTTGCGTATAGTCACCAGAAGCTAAGACACAGCGAAGCTGGGCCCACGAAAGCACAGGAGAGCTTCGTCCCCCCAAAACTGGCAGATGTTCCAATCGAGTAGAAGCTCTACAGTAGAGCCCGCGGCAAGGAAATTGGACAAGGCGTCACACGCAAGGTCAATTGAACTCGCTTTCGTCTCGTGCCACCCAAAATGGATCTAGGATTGAATAGGAGGGGGGGCGGAGGTATTGTAGGTGATTGTCGATTGCGGTCTCTGAGCCCAGTCGGGACCTTGAAAGAGATTTCGATCAGGCCGGCGGAGGAGACAAAGGAAGAGGGAGCAGCAAGAGGAAAACGGCTGCGACTCGCAGAGAAACCACAGCAGGAGCAGAAGGAGGGCTGGCCTGCCAAGAACAGTAGGATCAACCCAGACAATGGCGGGAATGGAGAATGAGAAGACGAAAAAGTGCGGGAGAGCGTGAGTTAAATGGCCACGCAGAGAAACAACACCACGACACGACGTAACCATCAAAGGCACACGACCAAGGCTAAGGGACCATGCATTGCAGGGACCCTTTGTGGTAAAAGACCACGCGGAGATCCCATCTCCAAGCTGGGCATTTTGCATGTGTTGCTCGTGCATGTATGTGCTTGTGATTGAAAGGCCATCTCCCCCTCTAGTGCGCCAGTAGCCTTCCACAACGACGGTTCCATCGCCGCCTCCGGCCAATCAACACGGCCGGGTCCGACGTAGACCGGGTCTAGTGGAGGGACAGCCAGCCCGGGAGTCTGGAGGTTGGGGGGGATTTTCGACCTTTGCGCGCGGCGGAAGCAGGCTGCGAACTTGTCGTGAGACGCAGTGTGGGGGCGCCGGCCGGTAGCGTCGAGCTGGCCAGGGCAGCGAGGCGTCTCCCCGTGCTCCCAACGACCGGCGCTGATAGGTGCGCTGGTGAGCGTTCGACATGGCTTGCTGGTAGGGGCAAGGCGCGGTGGAGTGCATTGGCCCGGCCAGGCGCGGCGGCACGAACTGCTGGGCGCTGCGGGTGCCATTCGCGGGCATCGTGGCATCGCGGGGACGATTCGTTGGCTGCTTTGATCGACGTCTTTCGAGGCGTGAGCCATAAGGTAAGTGAGCGACGAGCCGGGTCTCACGTTGGTGGCGGAGTGTCGAGGTCTTAGGAGGTACGTTCAGGATCAGAGTCGTGCCACTGAGAAGTTTTTCTTCTCTTTCCCTCTTGCCTTTTCCTACACTCTTTCCCTCTTACCTTCTCCTGCACTCTTTCCGTACCCTACCTTATTTCATCTCCTCCTTCCTGTCCGTCTTGTTCCTGCTTCTTTCCACGTTTCCCGCTTGGCCGGCATCGCTTGCGGCAGCAGGTGGCATCGTCTCGACAATCATACTACTTACGGCAAGAGCCGCACAGGGAACCATGCGCAAGCTTCCATAGGTCCTTCAAACTCCTTATCATTCTGCTCATACGAGTTTTCCGAACAAACACCCTTTCAGAGTGGTTTGTTTTCTTGTAGGCATGACATATTGCTTCATCCTTTGGCTGCAGCCGCAACGTGATTGGCTGGCTTGTAAACCGAAAGCTCAGCGAAAGCACGGCCCCACGATCTTGGCCCTGTCCTTATCCGAAGGCAGATGGAGGCCGCCTCGTTGCAACTGCAGTGAAGAGGCGCCAAGATGGGTGAGACACACGATGGGCTGCATGATTTTCTTTTCCCAACGGCCACTTTGAGTGCTCAGATCGCCGAAAGGCTGCATCATCTCATCGGTACACATACACCCAATCAGAAACCTGACACCAGGAGACGCCACAACCCGGTGTCGAGCCTTCGGTGTCGAGAGCATTCCAACGGGTGGCTTGCCAGAAGGTGTCGTCATTTACATTTTAATCGAGCCTCGTCCTCTTTTCTTGGCTCTCAGCCCCCATGTCAAGCCCAACGTCTTGGCACATTGAGTTTCATCTCTATCATCACCAACACTAACTACTAGGTATACAGGCCACGATGAGTGCTTAGAAAGACATGAAGTCACCAACGTCTTGTGTGCAGTAATCACCACACGCTCATCTCAGGGCTTGAGCCGTCCTTTATCAGAGACCATATATCTCGTCGAACTCATACATGACCTTGGCGGATCGACTTTGCAGCGCACCTCACATCGGGCTATTCTGTAGGTGGTACATGTATGTCCTCCATATTAAAAAGAGCGCCCCAGATACAGCGAGACAGCGAGACTAGCGAGTGCATCTCCCGCACCCACTGAAGCCAACAAGAACAATTCGCGCGATTTCATTGGCCCAGGCATCGCCCAAACGGCTCTCTTCTGGCCAACCAAGGCACCTGTCTGTGAGCTCTTGGCGTGCGTCATCAGCAACAGACTAGGCGTGTTCTCGAACTAGCAGAAGGGCCTTGATCTTGGAGGCTCGCATTTCGGCCTTTTCCCCAGCGTTACACGGCGCCAGATCGTATCAATTCTTCTCAGCTTCCTTGCTGTCTTTTTTCCCAACAAATTTCTGTCCACAATTTGATCGGCTAGGGTCGGCCTCACCGCCTTTAGCGCAATCTGGGGAGCCGTTGGTCCAGACTCGCATGGCCATGATTTTCATGTGATTCTGCCACCACTCAAAGGCGGAGAGAGACAATTACTAGGTAGTAGTTGAGAGCCTTAGTACCTAGATCTCATCTGTCTCCTACCCTGGGGTACAAGGGACAAGGCTTAACTTGGTCGAATTGATGCTTCATGTTTATTTCAAAGTAGAGTTACCCTATTCCGGGCATTACTGCACACTTGAGCGACCACCTGGTTCAACCATGGTCATCTGATACAAGCCTTTGGTAACCTTCTACAGTCAATTATCAGTATCCCTGGCTCTTCTAATTGCGCCTGTATCTTCCTCTCGTTGCTGTCTTTATGAGCCCCGTCTCGATATTTAGAAATAACTTTAGCTGTTGATACGTGAAATGATTCACCAGTTGGTTGCCTCGCCATGTTGCTCGCTGTCTTGAATATGAGTGTTCGCTCGCCACTCTTGTGAAGCAGGCAATGTCCGGCTGACTAAGACTCAATCCATCAACATGAGATTTTTGGGCATCGAGTTGCATCAATTGACATCAGCATCGCCACTTGTTGCAGAGCTTGCACCGCAACCAAGTTCACCTTGATCCTAACACTGATTGTCTCTTGCCATGATATCGCGAACCTCGTCATCTTTATGCAGGCAATGTCTCCAAGATGTGGTTCGTTTTGGCCTATTAGGGACACGCCGATATTCTTCACAGCCAAATCACTCGACGAGGAAAGATGATGAACCAAGCGAATGCAGAGATGGCAGGCCTCGGCCTTCCGATGAGGATGACATGCAGACGTCTGAGCAGCCTGGAGCAATGACGCGGAGACTGCAAGAGGCGACCGAGGAAGCAATGCTCAGCGGCGGCTCAGCCGGCCGACGTGCCGTGGAGGAAGCGGGATTCTCCGAAGAGCTGAAAGAGAAGCTGCTGAGTAAACTCGCGGATGCAAACTTTCGACACGAGTATTCCAGCGCATTCACAGAGAAGGACCTTACTTCTGCGGCTGGCGAGGGCACCAGACACATCGCCACGTCAACACCATGGACCGGAGAGGAAGATACGGCGGATGCGGTGCTGAGGATGCTGGATGATGCCAACAAGCCCCTGAAGCCAGAGCTCCGGGGCAAGTTCCAGCCGCCTGTCGTCGATCCCCGGGTTAAGCGGACGGCGGCAGTTCCTCCGCGGCAGAGGGCGCTGAATGCTCGAGATCGAGCCTCTTTCTACGCTGGCATGGGCATGAAGGAAGACAAAGGCCTGAGCGATAAAGAGCGAGAAGAGATGAAGAGCCTGTTTCGGTCAAGGTTTGAACCGGTCGCGCGAGTGATGCCGTCTACGCCATCGGGGCTTGCGGCGCTGGCCAATGATCACATCGAAAACGCCATTGCCAGGGGCCAGTTTAAGAATATCGCGCGCGGCAAAGGGGTGGAGCTCGACCTGAACCGGAGTAATCCGTACGTCGATACCACGGAGTACTTGATGAACAGGATCATTCAGCGTCAAGACATTGTGCCTCCCTGGATCGAGAAGCAGCAGGAACTGTCCAAGGCGGCGGATGCTCTTCGTTCGAGGTTGAGGGCCGATTGGAAGCGTCACGCTGCGAGGATGATTGCCGCCAAGGGGGGTTCGCTGGAGGAGCAGATGGCTAGAGCTGAGCAATATGCAGCAGCAGAGAGGGTGCATAACCCTCGACAAGTGGCAGGGAAGGCTGTCGATTCAGCGGAGCAGGATGCTAGACAGCCTGGTGAGCAAGATCACGGCCCCCTGCCGCGACCATTTCGGGATCCAGATTGGGAAAAGGCGGAGCATGCATATCTGAAGCTGTCTATAGAGCAGCTAAACGCCCTCACACGCAGCTACAATCTCATGGCCCCGGAGCTGGCCAAGAAGCCATACTATAACCTTCAGCGAGAACTGGATGCCTGTTATGCGGATGTCGCCCCCCTGATTGCCAAGGAGATCAAGGATAGGGCTACAGGGCCGCGCGCCACGTCGAGGCTTTCGTCGAAACCGTCTCCGTTTACAGGCGAGGGTATCATGGGTAGCTTGGGTGGTAAAGACAGTGTCAAGATTCACGAATCGAGGGCGCAGCCGTATGGGTTCAAGGAGTGGTGGAATGATGTGTGGAAGAAGTAGGGAGGGGGGGCATGCTTTCGAAATTCCTGCAGTTCTGTCAGATTACCATCAATGATTTCTATACCATCTCCGCTACCTAGCCGCCACATATGGCCTTGGTACATAGCAGAAAGTTTCAAGCTCCCATCAAGCTCTCTTTCTCAGGTTCATGGCCCTTGCATGGTATCACATGTATGTATTCCACGACTCCAATCCTCGTATCGTATAATTCCGCTTTTGGTGATTAAGCAAGCCCCCCTCCCCCACGCTAGGACACTTGAGCAGCCAACGGGTGGATGCGGAACGAGGAATTGCAATCTTTTTTATTGGCTCAGCCGCGTGGATTTCGTGGCATTTCGCGGTGCTTTCTCTCTCAGAGGGGTCAACCCGAGGTCACCTCTGCTCCGATCCCTCCGTTAATACTTGGTGGTTCAACAGCAAAAATTAGCCCTCACTTGTATATTCCTAAGGTACTTCATAGCCATATAGACAATGCATTCTTCATCCGACAAGCCATTCTGGGGCGAAGCCACGTCTTATCTCAAGTATGTTTGTCCTGCCCAAGTCATAAACGTTGGCATAGCTTACAGCAAGGTTTCCAGCTTTTGCGAAGAGGTATTGCAGTCCTCTCCATGCCCTCTCTCGCCGATGCGGCTGAAAGGCCAAACCCGTTGACGAGCCATTGGGAAATTGTTTAGGACTATGTCGTTACGCGATATGTTGCCGAGTTTATCAATACGCTCAGCAGCTTCGCTTTCGGTCCGTGGACTTGCACACTCACACATCAGACGCCCCCCCCCCCTGATGTGCTAGATATCTGACATTTTACTAACCTGTCGTGCTTGTTCTGGTATTCAGTCGTCTATGGAGCATATGGCCTGTTCAGACCCGGCCGCAATGGCCAGACTCTTGCTCGTCTGCTTTCTTACAGTGGCCTGATTGGCGTGGGCATTTGCTCTGCCAGCTACCATATGACCCTGAAGTATCACACCCAGATGTGTACGTGCAACCACCTTCTTGTCGTGGTAGTAGTATTTGCTCATTCTCACCCCCCTTCTTTAACCTCTTAGCGGATGAGCTGTCCATGCATCTTCTGACGACACCAATCGTGTATCGCCTCTTGACGTTCAAGAGCAGCCCGCAGCGTACCAAGCTCGTGGCCGTGCTTCTTACCGTCCTCTTCACAGCGGTCATGGTCACGCACATGGTCATGGACGAATTTCTCCTCCATGCAACGACTTTTGGTCTTGCCGTCTATATCATCGCGACACGGACACTGAAGCTCATCTCTCAACAAGTGCCCGATGAGCGTATCAGGAAGAACCTTCGGAATATCGCGCTGTTTGGCTGCTGTATGTTGCCTTTGATCTTATGAGTCCGAGTCGAGAACCTGTTACTAAGGACGGTGCCATATCTAGTCAATTTTGCCTTTGGATACTTTGTGTGGCTGCTGGATAACTGGCTGTGCTCGGGGCTGACTTCACTGAAGCATTCTGCTGGGCTTCCTCTGGCTTTTCTTCTCGAGCTACACGGATGGTATGTTTCCCTGTGCAGTTACATGGTAGTTCATTTGAACTACCGTCTTTTTCTAACAAAGCTCGAGCAGGTGGCACATCTTTACCTGTATCGGGGGCTATGTGGGCGTGGCTCTTGTCGATGCAATCACGTCAGGCCAAGTCCGTGAGGATCCTGTTCCGCATCTTGCCTGGCCCATTCCGACTGCAGCGAGATTCCTGGGTGGTGCAGACGCATCACAAAAGCAGGATTAATTTTTTGCTTGTCAGAAGCTTGATTCAACGCACGATCATCTTGAGAAAGACATGATAGATGGGTACCTTGTATTGGATAGACATGGAGGGACAGGGTTTATCCTTCATCTCAAGAGAATACTGGGATTGCGACTGCATTGGTTCGAAGCATGCCGAGATGGTTTTTTCTTTGCTGCAGAGGTTATGAGCATTATCAAGGGGTGCTTTCAGCGCATAAACGCCCATAGGAAGGCAGTGAAAACCTCGGGGTCATGTCAGACTCTGCTTTTGCGTTGAACGTCTACCATCTGCTCTGAGAGGCGTCTCAGGAGACCCTTGGCTTCTGCGCTTGAGCTGATGCCAATAGGCAAAAGCAAATTAAAACACAAATAAAGATCGCATCCTTGTAGATTAGCATCTTGATGACTGATGCTGCTGCTAAAGATACAAAGATATAATATGGTACTCTCTGCTACTTTTGCTATTCCCTTGCAATCTCGATATAAGCGTCTAGGGATATCTAGTAGCGACTTCTGACCAGCCTTTAAACTCTACAAGTATCAACTTGGGATGCTTCAGAGCCCAAGCTGGGATGCCAGAGACAGCCACTCCCAAACTAGAACAACAAAGGCAAACGAAGAGAGAGATCCAGTGGCGTACATAAACTTCAGGGCAGCTGCAGACTAGACCGATTGCTTCGCAATTGTGTAAACAAATTGCAAGCCTCAGAAGATTTACGTCTATAAAACCCTCAGACTCTCCAATTATACCTTCTTACTCCGAGAACAAAGCAACTTCCAACTTCTAAAACAAGCAACCGCCTCATTCAGCCGACACAACTCATTGCTCTCCAACTCAGTACTCCTGACTACTACCTCACATCAATATCTGCCATGGACTCCTCAACTGCCCAAACCACGACGAAAATGGCAGAGCTCACCATCTCAAGCGCTCCCACGCAACTCGAAAGAATAGGCCAAGGACGCTGCGGCACCGTCTGGGCCATCCGTTGCTCACCTTGTGACGACGAGAACCACAGCCATCTAGCCATGAAGCGCGAGGACGGCAGCACCGGGAGGTCGATATCGCACGAATATCGAATGCATCAGAGAATCACAACCATACCCTCCTCACGCTTTACCTCCTTTGCCATTCCCCAATCCGTTGGCTTTCTCGATGCCCAAGACGACGCAGCCTGGTCTGCCATCTTGCCACGCCTTCCTCCCGACTACACGGCATGCAACGCCATCGTCAGCGAAAAGATTCTGCCTGTCAAAGATTCCGCCCGGAGACTCCTTGTGCAGACGTTTCGGCCGGACGTTGACGCAGAGGACATCTTGCGGAGCCAGAGCAACAAACACTGCCTCGTTCGACCGTATCTCGGCCGCCGGCGATTCCACCAGAGCGAGATGGAGGCTGCCAGCACGGGAGAGTCAGAACGACGACGACGACGGCTCTTAAGAGCACTCAGCCTGCGCAACTTCCCGCTGCATATGGATCAGATGGAGCAGCTTGGCATCGATCCGAGCGGCTATGCGGTGGCCATGGCGGACGCTTTGGCATTCATGCACTGGGTTGCTCATGTTGATGGCAATGATGTCGAGTTTGTACTCGGCCAGCCTCGATGCCAGTCAGATACATCGTCGTCTGCGACTAGCACCCGGGATATATGCTTCGATACTAACACTACAGTCCTCGGCCCCCATCTGGTCTGGATTCTGGACTTTGACCTATGCCGCGACATATCTCTCGACGAGGCGGGCGTCGGTCAAGCTCATCATGCTTTTTGGGGCAATGACCCTTATTTCCCCCGGCCAGGGAGCAGCAATCTGGCGGATCAGAGGCTTTGGGCCATATTCCAGGACCGATATATCGAGTCCAGTGCCGCAGCGTTGCAAGAAGAACCAGATAGTGTCAAGCAACTCCCCGGCCTATTCATCGAGCGGATCAAGCAAGCCAGGTCTGTTTCTAGTTCCTGATGCAACATCTCTGAGTGGATAGCAACTTGAAGCAACAATGAACAAATTCTAGTTATTTTTGGCGTGTAGGTAGCTTGAAATTGACACCTGTCAGCTGCCAGTTCCCCTTGGTATTTTGTACGCCTCATTCCGTTTCCAAATCTCGATCCTAACCCTCTTGTATCCCCCCCCAGAACCCTGTGCCATCCCTCATGCCCATGACTCCAAGTTCTCGACAACGCAGCCAGGCTGGCCAGCTTGTCTCCGAACCAGCTTACCAATAGTGTAGACACGCTCATCACCACTACGCAGGGCCGAAACGACAGCCTCCACCTGGCTGGCCTCCACGGCCACCACCATGCCAATACCAGCATTAAAGGTCCGGCACATCTCCGCGGGAGCCACGTTGCCCGCCGCCTTAAGCCACTGGAAAACAGGAGGCATCTCCCAAGTGCCAAACGTAATCTCCGCCGCCAGCGAGTCGGGGAGCATGCGGGGCACGTTTTCGAGCAGCCCGCCTCCGGTGATGTGGGCGAGGCCCTTGATGTTGCCGAGGACCGGCAGCAGGCTCTTGACGTAGATCTTGGTGGGCGTCAGGAGGGACTCTCCCACGGTCTTGGAGGCATCCCAGGGCGCAGGGGATGAGTAGTCCAGGCCGGCAGCCTGCACAATCCTGCGGACGAGAGAGAAACCGTTGGAGTGGACGCCGTTGGATCCGAGACCCAGGAGAACATCGCCCTCGGCCATGGCATCCTTCCGGGGGAGCATACCGTCGCTGATGACGGCGCCGACGGCACAGCCGGCAGCGTCGTAGTCCTCGTCCTTGTACATGCCGGGCATCTCGGCCGTCTCGCCACCGACAAGGGCGCAGCCGGCCTGGATACAGCCGGCAGCAACGCCCTCGACAAAGTCTGCGGCGGCAGCGAGGTCCAGCTTGCTGCAGCCGTAGTAGTCGAGGAACATGAGGGGAGTGGCGCCCTGGACAACCAGGTCGTTGACGTTCATGGCCACGAGGTCGATGCCCACGGTGTCGTGCTTCTTCATCGCCTGCGCAATCATGAGCTTGGTGCCGACGCCGTCAATGGCGCCGACGAGGATGGGCGCGTTCGGATATCCGCACTGGGAGAGGTCGACCTCGCCGCCGAAGCCGCCAATCTCGGCACTGGCGCCGGCTCTCTTGGTGCTGGCAACGGCCTTCTTGATCTTCTCGACAAAGTCGTTGCCGGCCTGGATGTCGACACCGGCCTGGGCATAGGTCATGGAAACCTTGCCGGCGTCTCTGAACGCGCGGTGGGCAATGTCCTTGCGGTAGAACTTGCCCTCGAAGTCAATGACGTTGGCAGCCAGAGCGGCATAGGAGGCATCCACGGCAGCTCTCAGCGACTCGCCGACAGAGTTGATGGCGATAACGCGGCCGCCAGACGTCTTGAGCTGATCACCTTCCAGCTTTGTGCCGGCGTGGAATATGGTGCTTCCCGCAGGAGGCGTCTGAATGGTCATGGGAGTGCCCTTGGCATAAGAGCCAGGGTAGCCGCCCGCAGCGAGGACGACTGTGGCACTAAACTTCTTCTCAACGGACAGATGGCAGTTGTCCAGATAGCCGCCCGTGCAGGCCAGCATGATCTCGGCCAAATCGGTGTCGGCGGAGAGCAGGGGGAGGACCGTCTGGGTCTCGGGATCGCCGAATCGCACGTTGTACTCGAGGACCTTGGGGCCGTTGGGGGTGATCATGAGACCGGTGAACAGGACACCGCGGAAGGGCTGCTTCTCCTTTCGCATGCCAGAGATGGTTGGCTCCAGGATGTCTCTGTCAATCTGCTGAACGAGCTCGGGCGTCGCAATGTTCGTCGGGGCGTAGCAGCCCATGCCGCCCGTGTTGGGGCCCTGATCGCCGTCGAATATCCGCTTGTGGTCCTGGGCCAGGGGAAGGGATCGGATGGAGTAGCCGTCGCAGAAGGTGAGGACGCTGAGCTCGTCGCCCTGGAGGAACTCTTCAATGACGACCTCGTCTCCGGCGTCGCCAAAGGCCTTGTCCACCATGATCTCCTTGAGCGCGTCCTTGGCCTCCTGCTTGGTCTGCGGGATGATGACGCCCTTGCCAGCAGCCAGGCCGGTAGCCTTGATGACGACATCGTGGTTGACGCTGTCGACGTACGCCACCGCCTTGTTGAAGTCGGAAAAGTTCTCGTAGGCGGCCGTGGGGATGTTGTACTTCTTCATGAAGTCCTTGGAGTATGTCTTGCTGCCCTCCAGACGGGCAGCCTCCTTGGAGGGCCCGAAGCAGGGGATGCCGGCCTTTCGGAAGAAGCCCTCGACGCCGTCAACGAGAGGCGCCTCGGGCCCGGGCACGGCCAGGTTGACGCCGTTGGACTGCGCAAAGTGGACGAGGGCAGGGAAGTCGTCGGCCGAGACGGAGGAGACGTTGGTGGTCTTGGGGCATGTCGCAGTGCCGCCGTTTCCAGGGACCGCGAAGATGGCCTCGACGCGAGGCGACTGGCTCAGCTTCCAGGCCAGAGCATGCTCGCGGCCACCGTTGCCGATGAGGAGGATGCGAAGGTCGGCCATTGTTGGGATGGAGTCACGATCTCCAAGATGTTCCAATTGCAGATCCAGTCTCTCTCTTGGGGGGAGCGAGAGATGAGAGCAATGGTCCGTCCAGCACCTGGAGAGGCCAATGCCAGAAAGTCACTCCAAGGAAGAAATTTCAAGCTTGCTCGTCGAACTTCTTTTTTTTCCCTCTAGGACTGACGATCCGCCTATCAGAAGCCACCAATAGGGCTGTCGATCATGTTTGAGCACTTCAGTTTTTCTCTCGACTTTTTGGTGGGGTGAAGGCGGGGCAGTGGGAGTGGGAGAAGCGATAGCGCACGATAACGGGTCGACGGCGCCCGCTCGTACCTGTACGAAGCATTGGAACTGTATCCAGGTCTTTGTGTGTCTTGCAGAGCTGTGCTCCAGCGGTGCAACAGTACTGGTACTTGTCCGAGACCCTGACGGCCGCTAATCAGTCAGATTTTTTTCTCCCATCGCGGGGTCCAGCCAACAGCGTAACTGAACTGCCATGTGGTGGAAAGAAAACACTGGAATGGTCTTCTTTTACCCTGGTGATGAAGAAATTATGTTCCTAGACCATGGTCTATATAAGGTACTTTCAGAATTTAAAAAAATAATGTATCTATTAGGAGATAGGAAATATGTTTCCGTACAACTAGATGTATATAGCGATAGTAGCAGGACTAGAACTTGTCTCATTGATGAGTATCACTACCTAGCAATAGTAGCAGCAATAGGCACCACACTGAACGCCTAGGTTGAGTGTGTGAGCCAGTCTGGTGCTTCCATTGCTTCCACAGCCTGACTGCCCCTCTGTGGCCGATCGGAGTGAGTGACTCGGGAGTCGCTGCTTGAAGAGTCACAGTTCCACCACCAGAACGAGTGCAGTTCGGCCGCTAGATCTCGAGCTTCATCTCTCGCAGCGGTTATTATTCCAACTCCTGCTCTTCTTCTTGGACTTTAGCTTCTACTTCTGCTTGTACCATCTTATATTTGCTCTCATTCTTATCCTGAGCCTCATTGATTCCTCTTCATTTTCCTTGGTTTTGCCATCACCACACCACAGACAATACGGCTTCAAATCTAAGACTGAGCAGCGCGATGCTGTAGGGAGGCCGAGTTACGGGTACATGTATCCTACTTCCTGCTTCTACTCATAATGTAATCATCAGCACCCTCCTCACAGATTGATGCTAATCTCACCGTGCTCAATGCATAAACACTCTGCGCTGGATCTTTGCATGAATAGGTAAGTACCTATTGACTTGACACTTGATGTCCCATGTACTCTGCCTCAGTACCTAGGTACTATGAAAAGGCTTAGCGAATCCCACCATGTTGTCGAGTGCAGATCTTGTGTTGTCATACTGACCTATATCAAGTCTGGGCAGCTCCTTATTATAGTTACATACATACTGCGCCATGCCAGGGCTGGCTATCGGCATGCATGACAATATCGCCCCTCTCCAGGCTTTACAGCTCAACATTTTGTTGAAAACGGCCTGAGACAAGGCAGCTGACCTGCATCAGCAGCCCACGAGAACGGACGGACGGCCAGCAGCAAGGCGTTCTTTGTTCTTCATTTCTGCAGCTTGCGAAGCGAAGCCTAAACAATGAACTGTCTCTCGCTCTGCCTCTGCATTATTTACAGTAAGGTATCATTAGACTCAAGTTCGTGGTTTAGTCTCATCAACTAGTAGTATGTACTGCATGATTGTATCGTCTCCTGCAGTTCAGCTACCCCACCCTCATGGCCTCCCAGGTCGATGATGCCTCGCTTGGGTCATGAGAAAACCCGCAAATCGCTAACAAATCGAGAAAGGGCCGTTGATGCTTCCATCGTCGATTTACCGGTTTGCCTCATTACTTCATGTGTCTTATGCACTCCTGCGTCTGGTGTCTGGGGTGTTGCTGACCCCGGGGGGAGGGGGATGATGACGCTCCTATTGGCGGCCCCTGTTCTCTCTTTTTCAGCTTCAAGAAATAAGACGCCCTGCTTCCACTCCAAGCTGTTCCGTGTCCAGTTAGATTGTTATGAGTTGTAAACTACTACTGGAGTCTTGTTATATATCTGTTCTTGAACTTCCTCCATCTGCGCCTCGTTGTGCTTCTCATCGTTGAACCTTGTGCCACATCTAGATTCGCATCTGACATTCATCCACGAGGCTCACATCGTGTACCTGCTGACACAGTCGCCTTGTCCATCCACGAACGAAGAGTCTGAATATAGCCATCTCAGCCATCACCCGACAAGAGAGACTCCCGAAAGCCTCAACCCAATCCAGTCACCCGTCTCATCGAATCCCACCGATACGTGTAAATATCACTGCTGCCATCCCCCTCTCCCGCTTTTACCCTTTAGGATGGACAACCCAGTCGTGGACTTTATCCCCTCCGAGGTGGCCAAAGAGATGCAGCTGCGGACCAGGAAGCACGCCAACTTTGACGAGGTCGAGAAGAAGCTGCCCGATCCGCGGGCGTCTGTGCCGTATCAGTTCTCCATCAGCAATATTCTCAATGAACTGAGCCTTCGGGTTCCCTTTTCCAAGGCCATTTCCAAGGGCGATGTTGTCTGGCTCTTTGACAATACGGCCTACAAACAACACCACCAACAACAACAACAGCAACAGTCCTCACCCTCCTCTTCTTCATCATCTCCATCTCCATCATCATCATCAGCAGCAGCTCAAAGTGACGACAAGGACAGCAGCAGCACGCCATGGCAAGCAGAATTCATCATGGCCGTCTTCGAAGGCGAGCCGAAATGCAAAGTCGCAGACATCGTCGCCGGCCTCGCGGGCATCATCGGCCTAGCAGACGACGCGGAGGAGCGCAAGACGATTGAAGAACGGCTGCTGCCGTTCCTGTGGGACATTCGCGCGGGGAGGGCGACGACGGTGTCGCAGCATGGGGGCGCGCAGCTGAAGCTGGGGCCGAGCGGGCTCAATGGCATCTCGACGAACGTGCTGAAGCTGGTGCATGAGGGGCAGGGGGAGACGCCGCATGGCCATACGAAGAGGGCGACTCTTGATGTCGAGGGCGTCGAGGGCGTTTTGAGCATGGAGACGCATTTTGCTGGTCCCGAGGGATGGGGCATCATATCCGGTATGAGATGAGAGAGGGGGATTCTCTTCTACCTCATGGAGCAAGGAGTTGAGCGAGCTGACGAACATGTTTGTTGTAAACCAGACATTGACGACACCATCAAAATCACCACAACAAGCGACCCCATCGGCATCCTCAAGGAAACGTTCATCAACCCGCCCCGCCCCGTCCCGGGCATGCCCGAGCTCTACGCGGGCATCAAGTCGCTCCTCCCGCGCGACACCCCCTGGTTCTACCTGTCCGCCTCGCCGTACAACCTGTACCCCTTCCTCAGGGGCTTCCGCGACGAGTACTTCCCGCGGGGGACGTTTATCCTGCGCGACTCGAGCTGGAAGACAATCACCGGCTTGCTGTCCTCGCTGACCATGGGCACGGAGGAGTACAAGGTGGACCGGATGAAGAAGGTCCACGGCTGGTTGCCGCGGAGGAAGCTCATTGTTTTTGGGGACTCGACGCAGTCTGATCCCGAGGCCTATGGCGAGATGTAAGTCCAAGCACTCGAACAAATCTCAACTCACAGCCCATCCCCCAATATTTTACGCTCCACCAACCAAATCAGACAAAAACGTGTGTTTGAAAACGGTGTATATTAACATGATGCTTTCTTGTCAAGTTACCGAACGTTCCCGGGCTGGATCCGAATGATCTTCATCCGCAAGGACACAGACTCGGCGGCCATTGGGCTCGCAGAGAAGAACGAGCCGCAGAGGTTCGAAAAGGCGTTTACCGGCATTCCCAGGGATGCCTGGCACGTCTTTGAGAATCCGGATGAGTGTCTGGACTTGGTCAAGGATGTGATTCAGCGACACTCTTGAGCTTCAAGTGCCTTTGTTTTTGTCATTTTGTATACTTTTTTTCTTTTCTTTGTTCTGTTGGCTATATCCGTTTTGCTTGGTTTTTGATATAAACGGCACCTGGGTTACAATGTCACTATATACATGCTTGCATGCCTATGTAGGTTAGGTAGTGTAAGGAACTCCTTTGATTTATTTGGAGAGGCTCAAGTAAGCGGCTTTCGATTCAAGAACTTCCCGTCATTTTCTGCATTATTTCATGTATTTTAAAGAATAGCAGACACATGTACAATATGAACGATATATCGGTAACCCTCAGGAATGGTCTTAATCCTCTTCAAAGTACGGCCTTGCATCCAAGCAGAGATGTCCCGTATACGGCCACTCTTGACAACTGTACGAGTTATACCCAATCTCACGTCTTTCGCTTTTTTCGTGATTGACATCCGAGATCGTGAGTCGACATCCAAGATGCATGAAAATAAAAGCCCATGTAAACGCCTTTCGCCAGTCCCTCTGCTGAGATGGTACCCGCCAAACTATGATATCGTGTTGCCAATCAATGCTCCGCTGCATTATGGGTGTATCCAAGTCCCCGTCCACTTGCAAACCAACACACAAAGACTTTTATGAAACAAACAGCGTCTCCCGGATCTGAGCAGAGGTCCTCTTCGCCAACTCCTCCTTGGCGCGCTCTCCAAAAGTAAACTGGTCGTAGAATAGGTGGTCATTCGGGACCTCACACTCTTGGCTGTTGGTATGCGCTTTGCCAAGGCCAACAACCGCTCGACTTCCAGCGGTACAGGGCGTCCAGACGTCAAAGAACCGCATCGCATCGTCTGCAGGCCTGGTGCCTCGGCCTCTGCTATCTCTCAAGCCGGATCGCTGCATTTCTTCCTCCGTCATGGCATCCAAGACACTGCTGACCAAGGACGACTGAAGTCCCAGCCGCCGTGGATACGGCGCGTAAATGACATCGTCCTTGGTAGCATCGTGTTCCTTGCCCTTGTCCTTGGGCCGAAGTGACTCCGGGAGATACTGCAGCAAAGAAGTCATTGTCGGAACTGTTGCCGCCGTGTCGATGCCCTCGTTTTCGATCCCCTCCGGCTTGGAGTCACCCTTCCTCCTCCAGTCTTCTAGTTGTTTGGAGACCAAAGAGTTCCACTTCTGAGTGAGGTAGGCAGCGTTTCGCAAATGGACGCCCCTCGACTGCGGAGCAGATGGAATCGGGCGGTTCTGCCAGCCGGGAACGAGTGTGATGTCGAAGAGTTGCGGAATCACGACGCGGAAGCTCTCCATCTTGCGCTCGTCAACCTTGTTGTCGGGGTTCGTGAGTGCCTGGACCTGCGCCTGGGTAACGTTGGACCAGAAGTCGGAAAAGGCGGGAGACTTTGGGTTCAGCGATTTCCGATAGAGCAGTTCGATTTGAGTAAACATGTTGGTGATTGACTCCTCGATGAGCCGTTCGCCCGTTTCTCGCGGTAGTGAGGCTAGATTCCAGGTCTCCCATGTGCCAAACGTAAAAACCCATAGCGTCTCTCGAGGCGGAATCTTAGGAGGGGACATGGTCAGAAACTCTTGAACCTGCGCCTCCAGGTCGGGCGTCTTGGACGGCACAGGGTACTGCTCCGGGATGTAGAAGTTGTCGAGGGCCGGCTTCTCCGTCAGGTTCGCCTGCTCGTTGAACATTTCGAGGGCGCGGATCTCTGTGCCGTAGAGGCTGTTGGACGTGAGGCCGGGCTGCGATTCGACTGGGGGAACAAAGGAGAGGACAGAGCGGCAGTTGAGCTAAACGAAGACGGTCCATTAGCATCAAACGTTGAGACGGGTCATATAGACAGCGCTAGCGAGCTGCCGCTTCCATCTGGTCTCACCTGTCTGCAGAGATGTTCCGGCCATGATTGCCGCGTATGCTTCGCATCAGGCGCGCTTCCCAGCAAGTCCTGCGAGCCAAAGACGACGATTCGGAGGTCGCCCGTGGCGGAGGGATCCGGCGCGGACCAGGTGAGCATCTGCTGGTAGCGGTCGTCGAGCTGCAACGGCACAAAGTAGAAGAGCATGAGGAGGACAAAGGCGACGGCGGAGATCTGCAGTATGGATCGCGGACCGCCCCGCCACATGCGATGGGAGCAGACGAGGAGGAATGCCTTTGCCCGGTGAGTCCATTTCGACGGCCCGTCGCCCGAGAGCTGGTCTGCGAAGCCGCTCATGGTGAAGCGACGGGAGGGGGGGAGGGGAGGTTCGATATCAGGGTCCAAGGGGAGGAGAGGGAGAGGGGACAAAGGGAAAGGTATCGGCGGCTTCAGTGCACGAACATGAGACGGGATAGGTATAACAAAAGCGTTGGCTCTAGGCCTTTGGGCGTGTATCGTATTAAAGCAACTTGCAGTATGGGGAGCCAGGGGGGATCTGCATGGGGTCGGTCGTTGGACAGCGCTCACTAGACGGACCCCTAAAGGTGATCGATCAAAGCAGGGGTGCAGAAAGAAGAGGAGGAGGAGGAGGGATGATGACACTGTAGGGGAGAGAAGAAGTAATATAATGTGATGCTAGATGTAGGTATGAGTGCAGAGAGAGAGAGAGAGAGAGAGAGACTGTGAGGATATCGTGTTGAGGAGGGATAGGGAACACATAGGTCCTGGAGTAGCACAGATGAGGTGAAGGACACCCAATGCGTGTGTGGAGGTACATCCGGTACATGCTCGTACAAGTCCAACCTCTACTAGGGGGGCAGGCTAGCAGTAAATGACGGACTGACAACCCCCGTAATCATGCACTGGCCTTGCCCAGTACGGAGTGCGGGCACGCGAGCAGAGCGTACTATGTACTCGTATGTACTCGTAGGTGGGATCAGTCCAGATGGCGGCACATGCACCTTGATATTACAAGGTCCCGTCGCTAAATGATTATCCTTGCCACTCTGGCGTTTGAAGCCCAGCACTGCCCGGCGAGGTGGTTACGTGTGTCTGTACGTAAGTAAGTCATCCCTACAGGTATCCGTAAAGGCACTGACTGGCCCTCCTGATGCTCGACTTCTTTCAAGTTGGTGCCCGAATACTACCTAGTAGGTATGGAGCAGTTGTGATGAGTAACACCAACTCTTTGCTAGTGTTATTTCAATCTGTCCTCCTCTGACTGCCACTCGATTTGTTTTGCGCATTGGGCTCTCCTGAATATGCCCGGCAGCTAAGTATTACTAGGGCGCCTGAAACGAAGCTTGGGGGGGCTTTTTTCGATGCCGCATTGCCGCGGCTGGACCTTTCCAAAGAGGTGACAATGGCACCAAGGCCAGCCACTTCCGGGAGGTGTGGAGGCATGGACGACGCTGCTAGTAGTAGCCCATACATGTACTATAGGTAGGTATTATTTCACAAGACGCCATTACAGAGTGCAACATACCATGATGATAATACTAGGTATGCCTCTGCATGTGACCAACAAAATCCAGGCATTGATGTCGGCAATGGGTTTCCTGCCTACCTCATCTGGCCCACCTGATGTGCCTACAGTAGCAAAACCAAAAAACCCCAGAGTGACGAAGCGAGCAGCCAGGCGCGAATCCGGAGTAAAACTGCATGGAGCAGAAAAAGAAGGAAATACGAGCCGTGTGTCTTGGCCTACGTGTGAGATGATCTAACGAATTGTGCGAATGGACGAATCAAGAACCAGTTGCATCGAGATTCTCATGCGCTGGTTCAACCCGGAATTCCTGGCCTTCCACTTGCACAGCAATTGGTCCGACTCCATCTGGAAAAGGGGCACGCGACGGAACCTCGCCGTTGGAGCGCCGGGTTTGGACGCGAACCCCCCTGGATTGGCTTCCGAGGCCAATGGGGAGTCGACGCATCGTCAGCCTCAATACTGTACGGGCTTGGCAGATGGGATTGTCACCACACGGAACCTCAAGTTGTGGGAAAGGCCGCAGCATAAGGTAGGTAGAGTCTGGAGAGAGGTTTGGACGTGACAACATGAACCCGGCATTTTCTGGAGCAGTCAAGCAATGTGCCACCTCCTTCCAGCGGCAGAATGGCGACGATCAAACAATTGGATTCAATCGCCACGCTTGTTGTATTACTGTACTGCTAGAGGAGATGGCTCTTTGCCGTCTGTCAGCGGCGGCGCATCTGGCTAAATGCACAGTACCATGGAATAATTGAGGAGTCTGCTTCCTTCATGTTTATACGGTGATTCTGCGTTAAAAGTCCGTATACTACATAGCTGCAACAACGTCTTGCCAACCCGTGCCAACCCTTGCCAACCCCATCAGTGCTGGTAGCTTCATCTGTTACAAGCAGGAAAACAATAGCTGCAGTTGTCTCCGTGACGACTGGTGGTTCTTTCGGACCTTTGAGGCAATGAATGCACTTTGATACGGGAAATCCAGAACTTGCGTCGGTAGAGTCTGCCGGTGAGGCGGAGCCGGTCAGTGCCACTGCAGTTGCCGAACCCGGCCCGGGTTCCTTGCAGCTTCACATGCACTCGGGATGAGATGGCAGTCTCTAGACTACATACTACTACTGAGTTCGATTCTGCCCTTCAGAGGGATGTCATCGGGTTGTTGACCTGTCAGTTCTGTTTGAATGTCAGCAATTCAAGACAGGGAGAATTCATGTTGACCGCATTCCAATGCAGCACACACTTCGTAGATCGTTGGGAGATGCGACAGGCAAAATGACTTGCAGAATCCTCGACGACAATCAATCAGTCATGGCGAAGCAAATGCCGATTTCTCAATCGCCGTTCAAACTTATAGTAAGCGTCGGCCACGTTGGACCGCCGTCCGTCCTGAGCCTACAGCCTTAACCGACGCCCGTCTTCCAGCCACACAGCCTGAAGCTCCACCTCTTGGAAGCCATCAGGACCCCTAGCATCAGAGCTTCTGTTTTCAGCCTCTCCAGCAAACGCCCCAATTCATTACCCAGGCAACTACTAGAAGCTACCTAGGTATAGAAGCGATGAGACACCAGAATCACACGTTGTTACTCGTATGTACTGCACACTAATATCTGCAATCTTGCCTCCCTTGCATCGCCGTCAATCCGGCTCCGCCTCTGTTGATGAAAACAACCAGGAACCGCTGCTGACCTCATCCTCCCTGAATCTCAGTGTTCCCCCGTAAACTCAAGAGGCCAACGCACGTGGTCAGACGACAGGATAAGGCAATACACGTACCTTGTGTACCCTACCCTTCATCATGGGTAATACCTCTTATCATGTTAGGATAAATCCAAGCCTTGAGCAGCAGCCCGCCTCGATGAATTCATCCATGATGTAGGTATTAGGACCTGCTGTATCTGTACTTGGCGTCCAGGCAGCGGCTCACTGTGAACTGGCTTTAACCCAGCAGTACATGTACTCGACACCTGCCAAGTGCCAGCCCGCCCTCTCTGATTGGCTCTGCCTCCGCCTCGGGTTTGCTAGCAGCCGTCCTGCCCGGCTTCTGCACCTGTAGGTAAGTATTTATGGGACCGCCCATTTGTCGATCGCGCCTAGAACGTCACACACACACAGCGACAACACCAGCTTTCTTCCGCGCTGAATCCCGTCTGAACCGCGGACCTTGTTTTGCGCCGGCCTCGTTGGAGAGCGTCTACCGAGCAGTCGGCCTTGAGTCTTGCGCGCAGAAGAGAACGAGCGGCAGGACGAGGACGGACTGCGCCAGACAGCGCGACACGGATCCTGCAGCTCGACGCAATCGCCCTCGCGGACCCCTCCTGGCATCGAAAGCCCACGTCGAGATCACCCGTCACCGGCGCAAGGCGAGCCCGACAATGCCCAGGAGCCGGCGCCGCGAGCTATGATCGCACCCGCACTGCGTCCATCCTCCGAGTCTAGGCCTCACCGCGCCCCTGGGACGTCTTGTGCAACCTTCGTCCGCCGTCTCTGACACAGCACGACACGACATGCTCTCTCACCTGCGCTTCCACCGGCGGGGGCCCTCGAACCCTTCCTCACCCGCCCCCGACCAGTCCTCGCCCTCGTCGCTCCAGAGCCACCAGCAGTCGCCCCTCAACCCGGACTCGGCGTCTCCCCTCGATGCCCAGCAGCCGTCGCCCGCTTCCGCCTCCTTGCCGCCGACCTTGCCGCCGATAGCCCGCGTGACGTCAAGCGATCTCGGCTTGGAGCCTCTTGGCCTCGCAGACAAGCAAGATGTCGACAAACAGACGCCATCGCCGTCGCCTCCCCACCCCCAGCCTCAGCCTCAGCCTCAGCCTCAGCCGCAGTCGCAGTCGCAGTCGCAAACCGTCAGCCGGCCTGCGCAGCCTCAGAGGTCGGGATACAGCGCCGGCTCCAGCTTCATCGGCGGAGTGGCCTTGCGCAACTATCAGCGGAATGCGCAAGCACAACAAGTCGAGAGCCAGGGCCAAACGTCCCCAAAAAGGGCCGACCCGCCATCGAGGCCATCGCCGAAGACGTCTAGTAGTTCCAAGGGGATCGCTTCGCTGAGCGTCAACAGCCTCGCCGGTTCCTCGTCATCGAGCCAGCGGCATTCTGGATCTCGCATGGCGAGTGAATCCCAACCCTCGAGTAGTGTGTTGAACATTGAGCCTCTCAAGGGAAAGAAAGGGCTGCCATTTCTCAAGAACCCAATGTCAACGCTGCTGTTGAGGAGAAAGAACAATCAAGGCCTGTCAAATGACTTGCCTCTGCCGCTGAGCAGCCGTCTAGACGAGCCGACGTATGATCCCCGCATCAAGGGCACCAGGGTTCATGACTTCAGTGCCCCGAGGCGGCGGACGAATGCTCCCGCGACTGATACTGTCGCTATTCGCTCTGCTTCTCTGGCCAATATCGCCCTGGAGTCGGGCGTTGGCCCTCATGACGGCGCCGAGAGCCGAGGCTCCGTGGCGTTGGACGGGCAGCTACAACGCCGCATGGTGAGCAGTGCGTCGGATCCCGCTCGTCCAGAATCAGGGAGCACGAACTCGCACACCATTGCCCAATCATCCAGCGTTTCTTCCGTCAGAACGGGGTCCTCCACCGCAGAGCAAGCCTTTCCACTGGAAGAAAATGTCCTTCGTGAACTCACATTGAAGAGCAATGACACGACTTTGCAAGCAACCCCTTCAGCAGCCTCTCGGACTACCGTTCAGGACGTGGTCAACCCAACCAGGGATGCCGGCTCCATACACATAACCCGGTCAAGAAACGTCTCTCTGTCATCCATACCCAGACACATGAAGAGCACCTCTTCTCGTTTCAGCTTTGACATGATAGGGGCTGCCAAGCAGGAGAAGCTGCTGGAAGAGCGTCACCGACAGCGGGAGCTCGATAAGAAGGCTGCCGAGGGCGAGCCGAGGGACTCTCGCTTTGACGAATTTGACGAGGATTCCTTTGATTACGACGCCATGATGGACGATGACGGCTTGGAAGAGAGGATTCCGGGTATCAACGCCGATTACGAGGAAGAGGAAATACCGTATCTCGACGACGGATATGATGAGCAAGAGGCCCAGTACATGGGGGATCAAGTCGATCCAGACGACGACCAGGAGAACTTTGCGGGCTTTACGTTTCAGCGGTCCAATCCGACCTCGTCTCTGACGAGTCCGCAAAACCTGGGTGTCATGGCAACTCCTCGAGACGCTGACGGCGAGGTCATTGGTTGTGCTATGACCAAGGACTCTCCCGGGCTTTCATTGCCGCCCTCGACGCTGGCGCCGCTAGGTCAGGGTGCCGATGCCGAAGGGTCTGGTCTGGGGATTCACGGAGTGGATGCTGTTACGGACACACTTCAGACATTGAACCTCGAAGCAGATTCCGAACCACCCGTTGCAGCTGTATCGGCGCCGGAAGCCATGCGCCGGAAGATGAGTTATGACGACCTATATTTCGACGAAGGCATGGCAGAGTTTGGAGGCGTGTTTGCCGAAGATCTGGCCGCAGGTCCCCCGGATGACGGAGTGCCTTTTGATGAATCAATATTTGACAATGATGATACGGATCGGTACGGCCGACCGTTTCCTGGAGCCTTTGCGGCCGCGAAAGCAGCGCGGGAAGGGAAGATCAAGCAAGAGGCTGTACAGTCGGAAACGGACAAGGAAGGGCCGAGCTTGGAATCGCAGCAACTGTCAAAGCAGCAAGACCTTGCTCAGGCAGAGACACCGGCCACTACGAGCCGCAGCCCAGAGCATTCCGACGGTAACGGTGACGACCAGGGCTCAAGCGATATGCCTCCGCTGTCCGAGACTACCATTGTTGCTCCTCAGCCGACGGCTTACAGCGCGAACCCCATCGCTGCCTATCAAGCTGCTCTGGCCGCAGCCGCTCAGAAAGCGGCGGCATCCGGCGAATTTGAACGCTCCTTGGCACAGTCTCCCACTGACGCCGACAACAATGGCGCGGCATCTTCAAGATTCGATGATCCAGATGGGCTGCCTCACTATGCATACGATGACTATGGCTATTCCTACGACGACATGGACGATTTCGAGATGGATGACGATGCCATCATCGCAGAGGCCAATGCCAGCGCCTTAGCCAACGACTATGATGGGTGGTACGGACAAGAGTTTGGTTTCTACGCTGCCCCGGTCAATACCCACAACGCCGGCTCCAGCTCCGAAGACGCATACGTCGCCGGAGGATTCTTTGGTCCTAAAGGTGCAAGCAATATCAATCGCAGCAAAAGCGGGCGTGTGATTTCGAGGGAGCCCAACCTGACCCCCATCACCGAGCGGTCGGAATACTCTAATAGAAACTCTCTCATGAGCCTGGGAATGCCGCCCATCAGCGGCACGCCCGTCGTCCAGAGCCCCGGTCTGGCCCAGCTGGCCATGATGGCGGATCGAGGCGACGAGCAGATGAACCTGACGGCCCTTCTCCGGCTGCGATCGAAGGCGTGGGGAGGTTCCCAAGCCAGCCTGGCCTCGAGCAAGGACGGCTCCCCGAGATCCGAAAGAGGGGATCTTCCCGGTTCGCCGCGAGGGCCTGGGTTTCCGGCCGGGTTCCCCTCCTCAATCGGCCATACGCGGAAGAATTCGGCCTTTTCCGTCGTGAGCCGCGATTCGGAAGGTGGCAGTGCTCCCGCCAGCCCTACGCTCGCGATGCCTACATCGGCCCTCGCCTTCAGCTCGTCGGTCGAACCCGACTATGCAAATCAAGACACAGACGTGACATCAGCCTGGGCGGCGGTCTCGACATCCCCGGTCCAGATGATGGGCTCGCATGTCCTACAAGAAGGCATTTCCCCGCTCAGCGATGCGCGTGATCCGCCTGCTTTCGCAGCATCCGGTGCACATCCGCATGCCATGGGCAGCGGCCAAAATGCCCCAGGCCCAGAGAAGGGCCACCGGCGACAGAAGGGTTCGACAGACAGCATCTCCTATATGATGGAGGAAGAGAGTGGCGAAACGCGGTGGATCTTGGAGCGCCGGCGGACGGGAGAGTTTGGCGAAGTCGAAATTTTAGAGCGGGAAGTCGTTGAAGGCGGGCGTATATAGGAGTTGTGTGTCGATTTGGCGGTCTGGACAGAGCATCATCTCTGGCGTTGAACTGTCACCACGACGATGGCGCAAACAATGGTCATGTGGGCGAGCATGGCACAGTGCAATTTTTCTTACAATTTCGTCTCTGAGCGGTCTTGATGAATTTGTACGACAGCCTGATCTTCCGGCGATTTCAGGAGGCAGCACCTCACAAGGGGGCTTAATTGGGTCTCCATTTCGGTATTGCTGTTGTTGGATGTATATAAAAGAGGGAGACTTTTCTGGGTCGGATCGGGTTGGATTTGTGGGAGCAGACTGGTGGTTTTTTCAGAGTCATGTTGAGCAAGTTGAGCGATAGACGTGTTTTTGCCGGACGTCAGCTCGTTAGCCGGCATGATGTATTGATGGCAATCTCTAGACTTGAGCTTGATATCACAAATGATATAGAGTCTGTCAGTGAAGAAAGATGTGCCTCTGCGAGCCTGTTACCACAGTTTATAAAAAAACAAAACTTGAATCAGGTAGAGTATGTTGATTTTCGAGAATTGTGTGTTACGTGCTTGTAGCTCGGCGGTGTCATTCATATCAGCTTGTAGCAAATTGGTGGTTTATTCAAGGAAGCAAAATCTAGCTCCTGCTTCTGTTCATGCCAGAATCAAGGATTGCTAGGACACTTTGATATTCCGTTGCGGAATCAACAGCCTGTAATCTACTCTTCAAGAGGAAAAGCTTGCAAATTCTCGTTGACAGTGGAACGTTCGCAACTGCCAAGTGAGGTTCTGAACGTCTCATAGGTTTTTGCTGCATTGTCTTGCCTTACTTGACTCTCCCCTCTGAGACAAGACTAAATTTTCTGGAGCGAATCAGTGTGCGAATGGCAGTTTGCACAGGCGTGGAGCTGATGACACTTTGTGGACGGAAAGTCGTCTGTAGCTTCGAGCGTAGGCTGATACATGGTTCCCGGACAGCATCAACGCCGGCAATCGATCAAAGGGGAATAGCATGCCATCTCATGAATGTCACTACGTTGGAACGTACGCTAGAGCTAGAGTTGGAAGATGCTCGACACAAAAGTAGAGGCCGAAGTTGAACGAGCAGGGGAGGCGGAGGGGGAATGCCTGTGCCGTGCCATGCAGTCCAGATTGCGCCATACGCCCTTGGCCAGAGCAAAAAGACCGGGGGAAGACCGGCTTTCGGGGATTCGCAGAAATGACCTTTCAGGTAGTATGTATGTAGTAATACGTCGACATTTTCTTGTCAGTAGGCCTGATGGAATGATCATTGCCGATGATGGTGATGGAGTCAAAGGAGTGATATGGATATACGGCGACAACAGCATTAGGGAACTGCTGCCGATACTGCAGTCTTGAAGCCGAATAATACCACATGTACCGCATTTGGGTAGCTCCCAGCGACAAGTAGGTACACCAGAAATACATAGGTACTACAGACAGCAAGCGAACCGACAAGCACATGCAAACATCTGCAGCAGACGTTCGTGGCCCCATGTCCGGGTGTCGGTAGTGCCCACTCACACCTGATGCAGCAACGCGTCGTAATACATACTGCTAATAAGCGTGAGGCCAATATGGAAGAGGAGACAAAAGACAAGGAGGGCGAATAGTAATAGGAATGGTACCAACATGCTGCACTGCATTGAAGAAACGCGCGGGGTTCGAGCGCATGGCCGGGCCGGCCAGGGCTGACCGGGTTCGCAAATGTGTGGAGGCGGAGAAGGGCATGCAATGCAGGGCGACGGGACGGGAACCAAGTGGCTTCTTGTCGAGAGTATCCGGAGTTTTGCTATCTGTATTATAAAGCGAGGACGTCTTATTAACAATGGCAGAGGGTAAGCCGGGCAGTGTCTCTTGGTCGCTTGAAACTGGTCGCGTAAGCCATCAGAGTCATCTTTTGGCTAATGGGCGATGGGCTCATGGCTGTCGGTAGCGGACGACTCGAGGCATCTTGAACGACTCGTGTGTTTGTGACTTTGTTGTTGTCCATGTGGGATGAAGCCGCTGCTGCTCCGATTCTCTCCGCAAAGCGCAAAGGAAACCCCGGGCGTCGAGCATCGATGGCGTCTTGGCTGATCTTGTCGGCTCGGCGGCTGCCGTTGCGTCTGACATTTGCAGCAACTCCGTGTTGCTCGAGGTGCTGTAGAAGTAACACTGCTTACCTATGCGAGAGTGTTTCTAATGGACTTGGTGATGAGAGGTATGACATGCAACAGTACAGTATGTACAAGTAATACCTACTCTCCAGCATCTGCGGGCAGCAGAACTTGCACGCGAGCAGGTTCCGGCTGCTTGAATCAGGAGATGCGTCTTGGGTGGCATGATGGATTGATAAGACCGGAGTTTGTTGGTGTGGGTGGGACGCTGTCCAAACTGCGGAGGACGAATCGAAGCGCTGGGCGACTGTCTCCGAGATGCCGAATTCGGACAAAGAACGCTGGATCAGCGCCAAAAACTACTGCTAATACAGGGGGGGGGCCGCAGGTGCTGGAGACCCGACACTAGAGCCGCTCAGGGCTCCAGCTGTCCTCGCGTAGGGCCTGTAGGTGGCTGTAGGTGGTCTGGCTTTAGGTGTCATCAGGGCGCGCTAGGGCCGTGCTTGCAGCCTAAAGCATGAGTGGCTGCTGGCGGCACTTCCCAATTGGAGCGCCGTGCAGCGAGATGCGTCCATTGTCATTACGCACCAACTTTTCTAATTTTTTCCTCGTCTGCTATCGCGCTCCGGCCCTCCGGTCCTGGTCCTGCTGCTCGTTTTATTAATTCGCGATACCTCCACTCTCGCGCGACTCCTCCCACCGTCCACTCTGCTTTCTTGTTCCGTCTCTCCCCAAGCGTCTCTGATTCTCCTTCCCATCTCGCTCCTCCCCAGACTCTCAATCTCGACTCCGCTTCTCAATCTTGCTCAAGGCTTCCTCGAACACAATCTGATATCAGATCACCCACAACCCCGCCACCCAGCTTCCAGCCTCTCCTCCACCAGACAATATCCTCACCCACATCTTCACAATAATCAACATGTTCGCCACCAGAGCCCTTCGACAGGCCGCTGTCCACGCCGAGCGGACTCCCATGATCCGATTTCTCGGCCCCCGAACCATTCCTTGTAAGACCAAATCGCCCTCATCCCACCCGAGACGGCGAGGGACGCTGTGTGGACTGACATGAGCTCTTTTTTTTTTCTCCCCTCTCAGCTTCCATCGACCACACTCCTCAGCCTCACCCCGCCTCTCCCTCAGGCAAGCTTCCCGAGGGCTTCACGGCGTACTACGGCAACGGCGATGCGGCTGCCCGGCACAACTCCTTCGGCGCCTACCGTGACCACGCCCAGCAGCACGGCCCCCTCCAGAAGACCATTGGCGGTGGTGATGCCGGCATTGGCGGCTCCTCTGGCCACCAGCTCGGCTCTATCCTCCCTCCCAAGGGCGTTGCCTTTGACGTCTCCGAGCTGCCTGCCCGCTTCCGCCGCCGCCCCATTGATCTGAGCGAGATCGAGGCCATCGAGTCTGGTGGCGCAGCCCTGATTTAAATGCAACACTGCCGCGCGGATGGCAGGTGAAAAAGATGGATTTCAACAAGCATAATGAGAACTATGAGGGGAACATCGGATGATGACCTCTTTGGCGGCGATTTGACTTTTACAACAACAAAACGGCGTGCCTCGGCACTGACATCACATCAGAGGCCAGGTGGTGTGTACGACTACGATTTGTATGAATGGGGAGTGGCTGTCAGAAGGGGCCGAGCAGACGCCATGTCATTGAAAGTCGTCAAGACTGGGCCAAGACGACAAAAAGCTTTTGGCTGCTATGCGCATAGGGTCGAGCCGAGCTGCATCTTTGCAGCCGACTGTTTCTTGAATCGCTTGTCCGGGTAAAGGCCCGGGACCTGAAAATGGGCAGCAACTCGGCAGGAGATGCGAGCAGTGTCGTATCAGGGCATCGCGTCGCCCATGGCGGGTATCATGGGCAAAGGCGATATGGCTATATCTTCAGGTCGTCGAGACTGGCGTTGCTCGAGTTGCTGCGGTAGAGTGACTGGTGGAATAGTGCCACAAGGCACAAACATTTACTACAAGCAAAATCCCCTGAAAAAGTTTATAAACATGCACCCCAAAAAATACAAAATCATTGAATCAATTCTTACGCTGATATTCCGGTGTGTGAGAGTTGTCGCTTACAAGGTACTGCCGAGGCTTGAAGTCGCTACAGCCATTTGAGATGCCTACCTACCTACCTAGTACCTACCTAGGTAGTAGCTCTATCCGGTATAAAGCAATGAGGAGCAAGTCTGACTGTCACTTGAAGATCAAGGAGGAGGAATACGAGTACAGCAGCTCTTACGGCGCAAGCCTCGGACAATTGGTATATGACGCCTGAGCAAAAGCAACACAAGTGTCTTGGAAGTCAATTGAAGAACATGATTGGCTTTGCAACTGAATAGGATGCGACAGTGCGATCCTCAGGTAGACACTGTGCAACAAGCCACGTAAGCCGTGCTCTTGTACAGTGCTTGGCGTGCAATTTCCCGTTATTGATATCACCCCACCGTCCAGGGCCGCGATAATGACATCCACGTCGTCTCTCGAACCTCCTCCGTTCCGCCTTATCGCTGGCCATGCCATGACAGGAGCTCGTCGCTCCCCGTTCCGCCATCGCCGCATCCCATGGAGGCGTCACCGCTGACTCGCCAGCCTCAGCCCGAGGTTTTCGTTCCCAAGATCATCGAGCTCTACTCGGCCCTGTTCAAGGTTCGCCCACAGCCACCTCTTTCTCTGTCACTTCTGTCACTCTCTGTCTCTCTCCCTGTCCAGGACAGTGTAGCTAAACTCAACTTGCTTCAAGGTATTCGCTGCAAGCTGTATAACCGTTTCTTCTGCTTCTCTGCTGGCATGCGCTCATGCTGATTCAAGGCGGCGTGCTAGGAGGATGACGACGGCGACAAGTCCGAGGGCTTCTGGAGGGAGTTCTTCCTGTTGCGACCCGATCGGCCGACGCTCAGGAGGATCCTCAACGACATCCACCCGGCCGACCTGCTGCTCCTCGAGGGCCGGACAAGAGAGCTGTTTAGCCAGGCGATTGCGACGGTCAAGAATGGCAAGGGCTTGGCCCCGCTGAACGCTCTTGATGTGTGTAGTGTTACAGACCCTGCCGTTTGAGCCCCCCCCCGGGAGAGTGGTTCAGTCGCTGACACTTCGATAGACCCTGAGCGTCTTCCTCTCCTGCGTGCTGACGAAGAAGCACTCGCACCCGAGCTCCGACATCATCACCATCCTGGCCGGCCTCGACCATGTCGATACGGTGTTTACAGACTTTGTGAGCACGCTCGATGGCATCATTCGCAATGGGACAGATTGTGTGTACCCTGGGAGTACCCGTGCTGGATGTTGTTCAGGTTAACTGACAGAAGAACCGACGCAGTGGATCTACGCCACAAGGCGATCGAGGTGCTGCTGGCCGTCTCGGCGGGCGCCTATCAGACGACGCTCCTCACGTACATGATTCAGAGGGATCTCTTTCCATCCATTATGAAGGTAGGCTCGCAGCTGGCGGAGACGAAGTCTATGGGCCAAGGCTCACCAATGTTTGCCATGTGTTAGTTTATCCAAAGCACGGATCAGCCTGAGCAGGGCTTGGAGCCGTTCACCCTGTTGGGAATCCTTGCCAACTACAACAAGTTTGAGTTTCAGAACCCATATCAGCTGCGCCTGAACGACTTTGTCAACGAGGCCGTCATTCAAAAGGTTGTGCGCTGCATTGGCGGCGTATGCCAGGCATTGCGGTCCGACTACATTGACATACAAGATGACCTTCCCGAGGGCTGGACGTTGAGCAGCACGCTGAACATGATTGGGCTCGGGGCCATTACGCCGGGGCCGAAGCCGGAGAAGAAGCCGGTGTATGACGCTGCAACAGCAAAGCAACTATTCACCAAGCTGTAAGACTCATTAAGTTCTATCGATATCGTTGAGATGATGTTGGAAACTAAAACGCTCAGGCCCGGCCAGAATGCCGCCGTGTTGCTGGCAACATATGACTTCTCCCACGCAAACAAACTGTTTTGCTTCCATCTCGTGACCCTGCCCGGCGAAAAGGGCAAAGAGCGTCCGATGGCGAGCTACCTGTCGCTCACGTCGTACCTCCTACAGCACTCACACCTGTCGTCCCGGGCGACATATTATGCGCATCTGAACCTGATGGTGTTACGTCTGCTGATTGAGGACCCCGCCATCTGCAAGAAGATTTGCAGCGACGAGTCCAAGACCTCTGTGCGGCTATGTCGACAACGGCAGCCCTTCCTGCCGCTGGTCAAGGGGGAGCGCGTGCTCGCGGCGAGCGTCCTCGACACGATGCTGGACGGCATCAATCACAATCTGAAGCGGCGGCTGGACGTCAGTCTCTACGTCCTCTGCCTGGGCATCATGCTTCGGATCATTTCGTATCTATCGCGTTCCCGGACGCGGCTAACGTATCACTGGTCCGAGTTCTTTCGGTCTCTGCTCTCGCTCATACGGTTCCTAAACACATATGCTTCGGACTTGAAAGACCTGCAGCACATCGAAACGGTACTCGATCACGTCGTCAACCTGGTAGCGCTGTCTCTGTCGGCGGGCGAGGCGTTTCTGCCCACGCCGGCCGCCTACGACGACCTCTTTTACAAAGTCTTTGAATCGGGCGAGGTGCTCGCCTCCTTCAAGGACAACTACCGGCTGGGCAACCGCAACAGCAACTCCATCGACACGCTCATCAGCGTCAGCGCGCACTACAAGCAGATGCTGACGGCGAGGGGCAGCTCGGAGAAGAAGCTGCCGGCGAACCTGACGACGCAGCAGGTGGCCGAGGTGATCAAGCAGGGCTACGAGACGCTGAGCATCCAGGCGCGCGAGGGGCTGGACGGGTGGGAGCGGTACCGCGAGGCGGACGACAAGATCTTGCTCAAGAAGCTGGCCAGGACGGCGGTGGGGGATGTCATGGGCATGGTGGAGAGGCAAAATTACTGAGTGAATAACATGGAGTTTTCGTGCTGCTTTTTTCTTCTCCTGCTTTACTTGTGTGGATCCGGGTTGTGTTTTCTTTGAGTTATCAAATGGTCTTGTGATTGACAAACCTATAGAGTTGAGGGCCTACGGGTCGCAAATCCAAGTCAATTTCAGGCTTGATTCTCCGCCAGAGCTGACATGTGCAACAATACGTCACCTCCATCTTCTCGTGCTTCCTCTCAAGTCTGTCCATTACGAAATATCTCGTTGAAAGTGAGCTTGCGCAGGATATCAACGCCATCTTGGCCACACCGCTTACACCGTTAAGAGAAGGCTCTCTTTGACCCATTAGCTGATATTGACCACGAGACCTGTACACAATCATCAATCAGGAAGGCTCGTGAGTCATCTCCATCTACTCTCTCTTCTTCACGAAGACTTTCTTTATAAGTCCGTATCAGTTCATTGTGAGTCTCATGGTAACCTGATTCGAGAAATACAGACTCGATTTTTCTACTCTGTTTCCAATTCCGTGTATACCATACAGTATATGATACGAACTTGAGCGCACAACAACGTCCGTCCCAAACGACCGCTTTCCCAGACCGACAAACTCCAATATTAGATTTGCATAGTATTTTTAGATGAACAATACAAGTACTGTCAATGCACAAAAGGTTGGATGCGCTTATCCCAAAGTCTCGGCTCGACTTACAGCTTCTTTTAACTCGTTGTGGGAGCAGACCATGACACCCCATCTAAGCTCAGTCTCCTTCTTGGAGAGTCCGAGTTCGGAGGCAACAGGGGACCATCTGAGCTTTTGGCGACCTGAGTAATCCTTGCCTTACCGTACCTTAGCTCAAGGTCTACCATACAACAAAGAGAGAGAGGGGGAGGAAGAGAGACTGGGGAAAGAAGTGCGTGTACGTGTACGGAGGCATAAGCACAAGTCCGGAGTTTTATACGGTAACAGTGGGTTCGTCACCTTGATCGTACAAAGGTACCTTACCTTATGTAAACCGTTTCTCTTCGTCATGGACTTCCTCATTTGATGAGCTTCTGTCGGTACCTCTAGACCGTAATAGTGGAGCTTTACATAACCTCGTCTTCTTTCTTTTCCTTGTCGGTCAACCTTGTTCTCTCACATGCTTCAACAAGCAAAACGTATTCAACATCCATTTTCTCTCGCAACAACACCAAATCCTCGTTTCCTCTCTCCCTCTCTCATGTTCATACATCAAAATATTTCCAACTCTCTCAGAATCTCAACAACAACAACGCAAAGAGATACATACCTACAACATCAAACCACATCCCTTCGCATCGCATCTCATCTCATCTCAGCTCCAACCTCCGCCCAGAATCTCCTCCAGGGCCCCCCACACACTCTCCACAAATCGACTCCCCCCCTTGTCAAGGCCAAGTCAAAGTCAAGTCCACCATAGGGCGCGCGCGCACGCGGCAGGCCGAAGTCCGGCCATGTCAACGCCAATAATAGCCACAATCTCTTGAACCACCACTTATACATAGGTAATCAACTACTCCCTACAAGAACTTTCATAATACTGGATCCTTAGGTGAACAGCCTTGACCGACAAACCGAACTCAGTTTTTTTTTTTGTTCCTTTTCGTTTCTTTTTTTCTTTTTCCTCTTCATTTTTCTTTCTGATCCTTGCCAGGGCGCGCCCCAGACAGCAGGACAGCACCAGATGACAAGCCAACGACATGTTATGGCGCTTGCGGCGCCCTCTCCTCCGCAATAGTCTCCGTTTGCTTCCTCCGTTGCATTGTTTCGTTTCCTCCTCTCTTCTTCCTTTTCCATCTTTCTTCTTGTCTTTTTCCGTCTCTTCTTTCTTCTCTTCCCTCTTCTTTCTCTCGTTTACCATACACCGTCCTCTTCCTTCAGAGCTGGTGTAAAATAAGCTCCAGCTTACTTACATCAAACACACCGCCGCATGTCGTCACTCATCTCCACCCCCCCAAAAAGCCGACAAAAAGACAACCGACAAGACATCATCAACTTCTCTCATATTCTATTCTCCAAATCGACTCTACTCAAGACATTTCCCTCTACTTTACCATGAATTCTCTTCGGGTTTTCCTGGCTGGGCTTTGGGAGGGGGGTCCTCTTCCTTCGGCCTGCTCAAAGGCTACTCGGCATCGGGTCCGAAGTTGGTTGACGCCATATGCGACATTCCGCGCCCTTCTGGAAACACGCACGACTTCGATATGACATGATCACGCCAGCGTCTCCAACTCTCACTTGTCCGGCCAACATTTTATACATGGAAATACCAAAGCAGCACTTGAGACAGACATCTGATTGCTCCCTCACTCAACTCCATTTCAGATGCCATGCCGGCTCTTACATCAAACGTCACACACTCCGAGCAGATGTCATCATCAGAGAGGCAAGATCGACATGTATGAACAGGTATATTGGTTCAATTCCCATCCCGTTGGGTGCTCAAGGCCCCCGTGGTATCTTGTATAATAGAAAGAGAAACTAATTGTTTACAGGACAAATATCATGCCACGACATCAGGGGTATGGTCGCATGCGCAGCGTTACATCATCGTCATCCGGGCTCAGCCGCCCTTCTCCAGCCTGCATCCTTCATGTCTTCATGCCGTCTAACCCAACGGAAGAACCACATGTATGCATCAATCAAACGAAAAATAAAATAAGGGAAAGAAAATCGCTCAGTCCGAGTCCTTTAGAACATGGCGTGGATAAGACGTCTCCAGGCAGGCATGGCAGCAACCTCCTCGCGGTGGCGACGGACTTCTTCCCAGTCGATCTCACGGAGGCCGGTGTCGACGTCGATGTCCTTGGTTCGCAGGAAAGGCTCGCGCTTCCAGAGCCAGCCGATGATCCAGAAGGCCAGAACGACGGGGGCGGCGAGGAACTGCTTGAAGAAGCTCTCCGCAGTACCCATGCCCTTCACATCGGGGCCAGCAATGATGGCAGTGTAGAACTGAGTCAAACAAGTCAGCAACATGGTCCATCGGGAACAAAAGGGGGTTTGTCTGTTCTTACCTGGGCGATGAGGACAACGACGCAGAGGAAGAGGCCAAGATAAGAGCCATAAACACCACCGACGGCCTTGAAGGGGATCTCGTCGAGAGTGTGGCCGTGATACTTCCAGGCATTGCGGAATCGGATGTGGGCAAGGCAGACGGAGCCCCAAGTGAAGAGAGCGGCAAGACCAGAGATGGCGAGCAGCCAGTCAAAGACAACAGGGCCGGTGGCGCTCAAGCTGACGTACGCGATGAAGCCGCACAGGATGAGGGCAATGACCGAGGGCAGAGGACGGCCGGACTTGTCAATGTAGGTGAAGAGCTTGGGAGCATAGCCCTGCTGAGCAAGGGCAGTCAGGGTTCGAGATCCACCATACACACCAGAGACGCCAATGGACAGGACGGAAACGAGAATGACGAGGTTCATGAAGTGATCGAAGCCCTTGAGACCAGCGTACTTGCCGACAAGCACAAAGGGGGAGGCCTTGGAGTCCGAGTAGGCAGAAGAAGAGAGCAGCGAAGGGTCGTTGCTGTCAACCAACAGTCCGACGAAGAAGAGGCCGAGGATGTAGAAGACGGTGATACGCCAGAAGACCTGCTTGATGGCGCCGGGCATGTTGCGGGTAGGGTTGGCTGACTCGGCAGCGGCGAGGCCGACCAACTCAGTGCCGGAGAAGGAAAAGGCGGCGGTGACGAAGACGGCGCAGAAGCCCTTGAAGCCGTTCTTGAAGGCACCGGGGTCGTACCAGTAACGAGCGCCCCAGTACTCGTTGTAACGGCCGTCCGAGGGACCGCCACCGCAGACAAGGACGACGGCAATGATCATGAAGACGACGGTCGCTCCGAGCTTGAAGCACGACGCCCAAAACTCCTCTTCAGCGTAGCCCAGGGCTCCGAACACGTTGATGATAATGATGGCTGCGAGGAAGACGGAGATCCAGACAGCCACGGAGATGTCGCTATTCCAGTACCCAATCGTGATACCACAGACGGTCAACTCAAGCGGAAGCACGGCAGCCCACTGCAGGACATAGTTCCAGCCCATGGCAAAACCCCACGCGGGGTCGATGAATCGAGCAGAGTACGTGTAGAAGGAACCAGAGACGGGGTACATGATAGCGAGTTCACCGAGGGCGTACACTGTCGGCAACGTTGTCAGCGCCACACGAACCATTATAAGCACGACAAGGGGAGATGACAAGCTACTTACCGACGTTGAACATCATGATACCGACAATGAGGAAGTCGACAAAGAGAGAACCGGGACCCTGATTTCAAAGCGCTGTCAGCAAACACACGAGGCCCTTTGAAGCTGGATGGGGACTGCCGGGACAAGCCAAGACTTACACCTTTGCTCAGAGCACCACCCGAGCCGACGAAGAAACCAGCACCGATAGAGCCTCCAATGGCAATCATGTGCAGATGGCGCGCCTTCATGGGGCGCTCAAGCTCCACGATGCCGGGGCCATAGTGCTTTCTCCTGAAGGAGTCGAGGTTGAGGCCGTTGCGCGTCAACCAGTTGGGGTCGCGCTCCAGGCCCTCCTTGGGGATGACGGCGGTGCTGGCCTGATAGTCGACGACGTTGTCCCCCTTCTCGGGGGGAGTGACGAGGCCGCTCTCCTTGTTGGACATGATGGAGGGTCGGTCTGTTGTCCTTGTCTTGTTGTGCCTGTCTTCAGGTGCCCAGTGCAAGGCTGGAGACGTTACACCTGGGGATGAAGAAGAGGAAGAAGGATGAGGAAGGAAAAGAGGACAGAAGTGAAGACGAGGACGAGGGACAGTCGATCCTTTATCAATGAATGAGGATGCGGTTGGGGGACCAGAGACCCTTTGGCTGGCAGCAGGGATTCCGGTTGAGGGCGGTGTCGACTAGGACAATTTATGCATGGAAGCCTTCGCAGGAACCAGATGGCAAAAGGCCCCAGAGGACGTTGCACCGAGAGGCTTGTCTGGGGTTTGGAGGGCTGGAGGCTTGGAGGCTTGGATGGTCGGAGAGGGGCGATTTGGGGAGGCTTGCCTTTGGTGTGAGGCTAGCGAGGTTCGAGGCTTTTAGCTTCGCAGCTTCGTTTTATTCTATTTTTTTGGTTCGAAAAAATAGATAAAACGAGGCGCTGGGGGGTGTGAGGCAAGAACGAGAAAGTGGGAAGGAGGAGGGGGGGCAGAAGACGAGCCCAGATTTCAACCGAGGCGGAAAAGGTACCTTGACGCACGATGGGAAGTACCTCGAGCCGTTGCAAGTGGTCTCGGGCACACCACGCTGCGATGCACTCGCTGCAGTCCCAGCGGTCCAGTCGGCGTTGTCGAGATTGGGTGAGCGTGCTGGAGGGGGTGGGAAGCAAGCGTCAGACACTGCAGAGCAGAGTGCAGCACATGCAAGCCAAGAGCAAAAAGGGCCTCGATCGCCTTGCCTCTGCCCGGCTTGAGTCCCTGATCAGGCTACCGATCATGTACGAAGAAGCCCAGGCTGTGTGCGAAGGAGCATTTGCGATCCATCCGAGAGTCTGGCAGTGCTGTTCCTGTACTTTGAGGAGCACGAAGAGGTACTTGCACGCGGGAGGAGTGGTACCTCTCACCCACAATGCAGTCCGGCAGAGATTGGGCAGGCACGAAGGACAAGGACAAGGACACTGAGAGAACGAACTAGAGGCGACTCCGAATCTCGACGTGGCCAGCTGCTTCATTTTCTTCACTCTCTCTCTCTTCCTGTGTACCTCGACCGTCACCAACGACGACGGCGAGACAACGGCAGAAGCAAGACGACATCAATCCCTGCCGCCTCTTGCTTCTCACCTGCTGCATCTGCATCCCGGTAACCTGCTAACTGCACTGCGGATACTTGGCCTGGTACAAATCCAGACAAGTGCGATTGATCCTGGTGCAAGCAGCCAGGCAAGCAACGAGCTGTGACACCGACCTGTTTGCAGGCCATAGTACAGGTACGAGCGCTACACCATCCAGTATGGCGCTCATGTCCCAAACGCTCCAAATCCCCGGCCTCTGCCAGGTGCTAACATCTTGGGTCTCCACAAAGGCGACGATAACCCATCCCCCCCCATTACGCGCGTGCTGGATCCCGGTCCATGTCGAGGGAGCGCCCCTCACCCCCCCCTGCTTCCCCAATCCCAATCATGGAGGGACGTCCTGGGTGGTGCAGATCTTGGCGGCCCTTTGGTTCGCCCGAAACAAACTGGCTGACCGTTCTCTCTGCGTCGCTGTGCTTGTGCTTGTGTTCGTGCTCGTGCCTGTACCTGCAATGGATAACTGGGACACTGGAGGTACCTTGCCGCTGCCATTCCGCCCACCACGAGGCCCCTTGTGCCATGTGCTGATGCCGTACTATCAGAGACAAGACACACAGACACACCGAGACTATTACCGGCCGGAAGAATTATTACGACCACGACGGCCACTGCCCATGCTCTGCACGAGTGAGCCATATTCGGAGCGAGCCATGGGTGCCGTGGTTATCAAGAGTCCCCGCATCGCTCTATCGCTTGCTGATTATCAAATGGTTTCGCTGCCGCTATCAGTGGATGCCGCGTGATGCCCGCAGCGAACCAGATAGAGGCCCACTGCCCCTACGGGGAAGTTGGGGGTTTGCCCGGCACCGGCTGTTCAGTGGGCACGCAGCACGCTCGCGGCCTAAGGGAATGGATCCAGCCATGAATGCGTGGAGATGTTGGCGCTACTGTACCGTATGGGGGCGATGGCGCTGCGTTTCTCCAGGCGTATCCGCCAATTGGCCGGAGCCTGCCACAGGTGCCCCGAGCCTCGTCCTTCATGTGCATACTGCATAGTACGAGTATTACTACAGCCAACGTGGATTGCTCAGGGCCCTCGGATCCAAGGTTGCAGCGACGGCTGGTGATGCACCGGCGACACGGGCTGGCGCTGCAGAGTGTTAGCATTGACCTGCACATTCCGCATCGCAGCGGACATGGACTCGGTAACGCTGATCTCTCGCTACCCAGGACGACAGGTTCCTGGGACAGCTGGGCAGGTGGCACGGCACGACGGCTGTCCGTATCCTGTACATCAGCTGGCGCAGCTGGCTGCATTTGGCATTCTCATCGAGGCGGCATCACCCGACCCTTCGCCCATGAATCTCGCTCCTGCTCCTTGTCAGGCCGGGACGGATATACATTGAATACTTGCCAAGTACTCGACACCCAAGATCTTTGAGAAGCATCAGCAGCGAGACCAGCGGGGAGTCTTGCGATGTTTGTACCTTTTACATCGTGTCAGAGCCCGCACACCGCTTGATAACTTGTACTCGCACTCTTGCCATGTTATGGGCACTTGGTCAAAGGACGTCGACTTGAAAAGCAGAGCAAGCGTCTGGGTGACGGCCGGGTACCGCTTCAAGTGGCGCCCAATCCAAGGGGTCTCATTGCTGACAGGGGCCGCCTGGCACTTGTCCGCCTCGCCTCGCCTCGCCTGGCCTGGCCTGGTCACCTACCTACCTACCTGCCTAGGTATGTAGTATCTCGCCTCCCAGCTGGTGATCGATCCCCTCCAGCTGCTCAGTGACGGAGCTTGCATCATGACGCTCGGTGCAAGCATTGCTTGTTGTCCCTTGCAGACGGCTTCGGGGGAGTGTTCTCGGCAACTTGAACTGCAGTGCCTCGTACAGCTCGAAGGGGAACAGATGGGGATTCAGCAAGTGGTCACTCACCACTCAAGGTGCAGATGATTGCCCGATTTCACTACATCGTCGATTTCCATGCCACTGATAACCTGATAACCATTACTCGTACCGCTTGAGACAATTCCCAGTTGTCATTCAGCTCGTTCGGTTATCCAGTACACCCCTCATCGCATCCAGGTCGCTCGCGGGTCTGCCCAAACATCACCAGACTTGACTCCGCAATCGTTCCATCCTCTTGTGCTTGGTCGCCATCTTCCTACACTCCCTTCCGCGCTTGTCCTTCGCACGCCACATGGCTCAAGTTTGCCTCGATCATACCAGCGATAGCCATTTCATCCAACGACGAAGATACGCTGATCCACCGGGTCTATCAGCTCGTCGACAGCCGAGCCGATTCGGGCGAGATCACCTCCTCCTCATTGTCCAATCACCCAACACGCGCCGGCTGGCAGAAGCTGAGGGCCTCGTACTTGGCAAATACGAGTACACAGAACGCAATACAGACAAGTCAAGGCCCCCTACCTAAATCTCCACCACGAGCAATAGCATGATAACATGTGGTTGGTGGCTGCATCGCCGCGCAGCCGGTGAATCTCTTCCAAGCCTAGCACCATCAGAGGCCACCACCCATTGGATCTGGAGCCTCCCGGTGGCGACGTGCGTCTTCCATGAAGTATTCTAGCAAGCTTCGGGCCCTGCTGACCTGCCCTTCCTGGCCCAAAGCTGTTGTCTTGGCCCGAAGCGCCGGCGGGTCGCATCTACTGCACCCATCAGCTTCTGGTATCATCACCGACAACCTAATTTCACAGACCGCGGAGCGAACACGAGTCGTGAGCCAACAGACGGCCGTTGCTGGGAGGACATGAAGAGGCGGTCATTTCACTTCTGGCAACCATCTATCCCAAACACCACAAGCGCTGTTTTACTAGTGCTCGTGTCCATCAAAGAGGGAGAAAGCCGCAAAGGATGAAGCACAAAACTGAGGCTTGCATACATGTCCAATGAGATGTGCTTGGTTTCCAGACAATACCAACGGCTTCATGTAAGTGGCGGCCTCACAGCGTCTGGTGTCTTTTGGATGTTCTCTCATCTGATTCTATGGAAGCTGTTGGCTTTTGATCTATCCTCCTACTGGTACTCCGTACTGGACCCTGCAGATATGAGCGTGGTGAATTGGGCACCATGATATGAGCACCCTGGTTATGGTTGGGAGACTGTCACTAGGCTGGTTCCTTGCGTTCCCGGATCCCGCACAGACGACGGCGGAGAGCAGCCAACGAAGAAGACGGCTGGTTGCATGATCACCACCCAAGCGCCTGAGACGCGAAGCCCGCTGGCCTCAGCGAGGCTACTGGGGAGATACAAGGACTCTTTCGCTCACCGTGACAGATACACACAAGATGCGGCACAGCGCACTACTGACAAATCTATGACATAGATGTTGGAACCGTGGAAGATGTGTTTCGGTAGCCCGCCAAGCATTTGCGAGCTGGGCTATCTGGCAATCTGGCTAGTCCTGTGATATTGTCGTTATTGTCCGTTACCCCAGCCATACATGGTCACTCCAGTTCGATTACGCTCGTCTGCTACTTATTCTCTCGTCAAAACGCCCCGTGCTTCTAGCTTGGCCCTAGCGTGCATCGTGGCGCCATGCTTGTGCTACGCATGGTGCCTCCTTCGGCTAATGTCGTTGCTTCCTCGTGATAGGCGACAGCAGTGGCACACCCCGACAGTTTGGAGACCACCACAAGAGCGAGCCTCAACACTAGAAGTGCGAGAATTTCTTCTAGAAACCGCTCAATCAGCTCGAGGGCGTCATAAGCATGGTGCCACCACCGGCTGGCTCGTACAGGGCACAGCGAACCAAGCAGGGGAAAGCGACGGCATCCGGCGAATAGTTTGTTGCGCGGTGATGGCTTCTTCTCAGCCTGCGTTCTCCCCCCCTCACACTGACAAGAGGGCCATATGCCCCAGACTTTTAGAGCAGATGCACACTGCTACTCGATATGTACTAGGGGCGTCGTCTGCCTGTGTCATTAGCGTCTCTTTCCGTCTCCTCTACAGTACAGATACCAATCTAACCACTTCGTCGCCCATTAGGATACCAGATGAGAGGCGGGCAGTCCATACTACA